GGATGGAACTGGAAAACATAAAAGGTGAGGTAATCAAGGCTCAAAAAGAAAAACCATCTGTGCTCTCCCTGTCATATGCAGATCTTAGCTTCTAATTTTCATCTGTTTTTAAGTGGGGGAGATTGGGAAGACATCAGGAAACTAGAAAGAGTTCCATGAAAGTGTGAAAGTGGGGAGAGTAATAGAACACATATGGTTTGGAAATTACAGTTGGTGGTTAACAGGAGAGTATTAGATGGGAGTGGAAGGGACAGAGATGGGAAAGACTAGATTTGATATAGGATAACAGCTATAAAATCTAAATGAACATGAAAGTGCCAAGAGCAAACCTGCTATGTTCTAAAGTAACTAAAAAAATAAACCCAGAATAATCTCCCTTCTAAGGAGATCACTCTTTTAGAAGGCTGAGACTGAAGGACACACCCAGGTCAGGCTGGAGCAGTGGCTGGGGCCTAACACAGGGAAGTCTCACTCAAGCACAGTCTTCTTTGTTTGTTTTGTTTTTGTTTTTGTTTTTATTTTTTTGGGGGGGGAGGTGGTGTTTCTCTGTGACTTTGGAGGCTGTTTGGAAACTAGCTCTTGTACATCTGGCTGGTCTTGAACTCACAGAAATCTGCCTGCTTCTGCCTCCAGAGTGCTGGAATTAAAGGTGTGCTCCACCACTGCCCAGCTCAAGCACAGTCTTCTAGACAAACAGTACCAGGCTTTCTTTTGGGCCACCAACCAGCTCCCAAATCATGACACAGAAACTTATTGGCTTGAATGCTTGGCCTAGCTTAGGCACCTTCCTGGCTACCTCTTTTAACTTAAAGTAACCAGTTTTTCTTCATCTACCATTTGCCTCAGGGCTTTTTACTTTCTTCTGTAAATCTTACTTTCACTGCTTCTTCTTGCCTGGCTGGTGTCTGCCTGGCTTCTTGCCTCAGACATGTCCCTTGTTTTCTCCCCATTCTCTTGTCCTTCTCTCATTCTCCTTGATTTTTCTTTCTGAGCCTCTATTTCTCCTCCTATTTATTCTCTCTACCTGCTAGTCCTGCCTATCCTATCTCTGCCTAGCTATTGGCCATTCAACAACTTTATTATACAATCAAGTGCCTTAGGCAGGCAAGGTGAAACAGATGCAACACATCTTTACATAATTAAACACACATCCTCACATCCTTAAACAAACACAGCATAAACAAAAGTAATGCACCTTTATACAGTTAAAGTAATATTCTGTAGCAAAAACAAACGTAACATATCTTTGCCTAGTTAAAGTTAATATTCCACAACAGAAATCCAGTGGAGTCAGAGCACACAAAGACTACTGACAGCACGGCTTGTGAATTAGTGCTACAGGGCATGCAAGGAGCACCAGCAGAAGCCAAGGGCACTGTAGCAGTGATGATAGTCAATGTTATGCAAAGCCTCTTGCTACCTCAGCTGGGTGTTCTTTTGTCCTTGTTCTCTGTCTCCGTTCTATTCGGGGGATGGGGAGGATTCACCACCTCTTTCCACCCTGGTGGTTTCCTCCAGACATCTCAGTATGTATGGGTCCTGTTCCTGGCGTCAAGAATGCTATAGTCATGAAAACACCTAAATGGCTACTCCATGGTTTGGGGAATGATTTTTGTATGTGTTCTGTGGCCCACAACTTAGGGCATCCTGTTTGTACTACAGACACCACTGAATGAATATCTCTCTAGCTTCCTGATTGACTTTTACTGAAAAATTCTGCCTTTAATAATTGATTCTTAAAAAAATTAGCTAACAGTATCTAGAAGGTATGGATGTCTTGCTGGCATTGTAGTTTCTCACGCTGAACTTTTGTATTACTCAAAGTATTAATGCATGGATGCAATGCACAGATATCATTACTATTGTATCACAGGAATGGTTTCTCCTCCTATTTATAATACTTGCCCATAAAGGCACTTTGATGTTTTCTTTATGTTGGTTTGTGGGCAGACCCTTCACTCGAGTAAGTACACTTCTGTTCAAGTCTCCCCAGTAATAGTACGCCCAAACCATGTGCTAATCAACTCAATTCAGTTTATTAGAAGAGATGCCTCTTGGTTTCACAGCTAAGCAACATTGGGCTTGGTTAGTACTTGGATGGGAGCCTTAATCCATAAGAGTAACATGCCCCTTAATTCTAGTTTCCATCCATTATTATTACACTGACAAAGAAAATGAAATGAATTTTCTGGGGATATCCAAGCCATAATAGGGATAGAAATGTTACATTGTGTCGAGGCAATTGGATAAATACAGTGAATTAATATCCATGTAAATACCCCAGAATATTACTCTACTTCCTCTGTTAGAAAAATAAACCAAAGAGATGATTCCCCAATTCAGTCATGGATGTCCAAGGTCAGAGGTGAGCTTCAGTCCATCTTGGACCAGCTTTCCTTCAGCCGTCTGATGCACTGTTCATATGTGGGCCTGCAGGGTTTGTAGAGGACTACATTCCATCAACTTTGAAGGGTTGTGAGGATTAATATCTACAGTCTACAGAGGATCATTCTACTCCCTACCTTCTTGCCAAATTCAACTCAAAAATCAATGAGGTATTTTAACAGAGACACTGTGTGTACTTGAGATATAAGCCCCTACATGCCCTGTGTTCACCTGCAAAGTGATCATGAAACTATGGATTTTAGAAATTTAGAAATTTGAAAATTTACAAATTTAGAAATCTCAGCCTCACTCAGAAGGCTCCATAAAGCCTTTCAATTCATCAAATATTACTTGGGGACAATGGTACATGATGCTAAAGATAGCGACCACAACACCTAATAATTCCCTGCTCATGAGTTTGTTACTGTACCACTGTAAGAAACCTGGGTTTTCCCTTTCTCTCAGAGGAGATCCTTACATGGACAGTGCCAAACACCACCTCAAATCCCATGGGGAACCAAGTAGGCACTGCTGAACAGAGGCAGGCTGTGCTTGCTCTGTTCATTTCACATTGCTCTCATTGTTGGACATTCCTAGTTCTTCTCACCCCCACAGAGATCTGAATTTTTCTCATATGATTTTTAGAAACTTAATTGAGATTACTGGTATTATTTCCACAAGAAAGATGACAGTGACTCCTTTCTGTATATATTCTATACAGAATTTTAAGTATTAGAACCTTCTGGAACCTATTTTTAAATGCATGTATGTGTATGCATGTGTGTTCATAAGCATGTTTGTGTGTGAGCCAATGCAATTGGATAGAAGTACACATGGACATATATGAGCATGTTCATGTGGAGACAGGAAAACAACCTCTAGTGGCATCCTCTGAAACTCTGTGCACCTCCTTGAAGACAAGGACTCTTGACCTGGAGTTCACCCATTAGGATAGAATGGCTGTAAAGTGACCCCAGGAGTCTGTCTGTTCCTTCCTGCCCATCACCAGGATTACAGGTACCAGAACCATCACACCTGGCCTTTTATCATGGATTCTAGAGAACTCAGGTTCTCATAATTGTGAGACAGACATTCTACTGATGGAGTGAGATTTATAGTGCTGCATCCTATACTACAAACAAAAGTGTAAGGAGTTCAATTGCTGCTGATAGTGTCTTCTGTATAGAGACCTTAATAAATTCTACTTACAAGGCAAAATCCAGAGGTAGTAATATGAACAAGTGAAGACTAAAAAAATCTGATGTGTGACTCCTTCCTATGTTCTCTTTTGTACCAAGGAATGTTCTATGTCACTCAGGATTCATACATAAAATACTATGCTCCTGAGTTAACCACACATTGTAAAGTACATCATGTAGTCACCACTTCTGGACTGGAGACAACCATGAAAAGACTAGAATATTCAGCCCAGTGGTTGGGAGTGAGTTCCCTGGTTGTAGGACCTTGATATCTGAAGAGGGTTTTGGCAATTTGGTTTTGTGTTGCAGGGTCCTAACATCTCCCTCAGGGAGGGGGATGAGAAGGTGCAATGTCAACAGCACAGACACCAGGAGTAGGTAAAAGGCAAACAACAGACTCATTTATTTAGTAATGGGGAGAGTCTTATATACCCTCCTTCCAGCACCCAGGCTGCATCCAGATCCATTGACATTGCATGGTTGTCCCTCATTGGCTAGACATGATCAGGACCTCTGACAGCACCTGTTGCTAGGGCTGGGTTCTCAGGCAGACTCCAGGTTGGCTCATCTCTCAGCCGTCTACCCTTTATCTCCTACAGTTTTGGACCCTTTGCTATTCAAGAAGGTTCTAATACCCAGGACTCAACATTTTGGAGGCAGGTTGGTCAGCTTGTATTATGCTTGTATCCCTGGGAATGAAAATGCTGTTGCTTCAGAGAGCTAGGACTGACGACTGTCTGTCTACTCTATGAGCGACTATCAACACCACCTTACAGCCCCTCCTGAGACAATTAAGTGGGCTCATCCAGAAGTTGCAAAGGCAGTGATATGTGCAGACCTGTCCATGGTACAGGTTCTAATGAATAAATGTTTGTCCAATGTGGCAAAGGGCAACATTTTCTATGGATACACACTGGATGTAGGCCACATCCTATAATCAAGGGCCTAAGGAAATCTTCTGATGTCACACACAGGTGAGAACTGCCACTGAGGCAACATGGACAGGAACTTCACTGAAACAGTTCCCACAGGTTTCCAATCTCCATGACTCCCCTGTGGGAAGAGTCCACTAGGGAGGACTCCCAGAGAGCAAACAGGATCCAGAGAATCCTGTTCTCTATGTGACAAGCAGCATTAAAAGGGGAGGTGGTCTGGAAGTGAGAGAGGCAAAAGCAAGCAGGCACATGCAGGATCCCTCAGGTGGGTCTTCACTGAGAAGACTGTAAGACGGCATGAAGTGAAGAAACATCAGCTGAGCAATAGGACTATACTTTTATTGAATGCTGGGTGTTTGACTACTGAAATATTAGATAACTCTATGCTTTTGTTCCAGGGATTTCTTCAACAAATGATGTTTCAAGAGCCAAGGTAATAAAGGCAGGTGAAAGTTTTGAAGAGGTGGTGTTCCTTTGGAAATTACGAGATTTTGCTAGCAGAGCTGACATCACTGGACTCTTCTTCTGCTTCTGAAGTGGAAACAGCAGGTTCCTCCTCCCTAGAAGACGTCACATACCTATTGTGAAAACAAGCGTACACAAAGCATGGGAAAATAGCAAGCAAAATCAGACTGTTCATATAATAATTAGGTGAATCCTTTCTCGTGGGTTGCCTTTGTTTTGGAGCTGGGGATGGAGGGCCACTGTCAATACTTCCTCCACTACCATTTGTAAAGCACTCTGGTGGGTCCCATCCCAAGTTGCAGTGGCAGTGGTGTAAGTTGTTGCAGACTCCGTTGCTGTTGCATGTCTTTGGTGAACAATCACTTACCCAAACTGACTTATTGACACACTTCCTATCAATGCACACATGCTCTGGACCACAGTCTGTGCCATCTTTCACATGGCCAATGTCAGGTATTGTCATCCCAAAATGGTAGTCAGTTCCCCAACAGGTGACACCATTGAGGTGAATCCAGTGGACAGTGGAATGTCCTTCCAAAGTAGGAATAACTTTTACATTCTCACACTGAACTCTCCCACAGAGGATGTCTGAGTCCTTACATCTTAGGTATGTACTTCTGAATATACCACAGTTGCCAAAACGGTCTCCTTGGGTGTTGATTTCCCTGTAGCAACTCTGAGCTGCACTCCTGGCTTCTTTGCCAAAGATTTGCTGGCACTGTTCATCTCGGCTATTACATCTCTTTTCATAGCAATAGCCACCATCTTTACAGGAGCTCCCATCAAGCAAATAAACATCATTAGGGCACTCATGTGAATGTCCATCACACCATTCTGGAAGGTCACATTCATTGGCCGGTTCTCTGCACATTGTGCCTAATGGCATGATCTTGCAATCTTTGCAGCAAAGCCCAAAAGCACAGGCAGATCCATATTTGAAGGTACAATCATTCCTACAACATGAATCTTTTCACCAATGCCTGCTTGAGCCATTATGCATGCATAATATCCACATTTACATGTGTGCTCATCATGCTTCAGACCCAAATTATGACCAATCCCATGTGCTGTAAGTTGTCCAAAATGATGAAGTTCAGAGCCTTCAAGACGATCAACTCCACAATTCTTAGATTGCACACAAACAGATCCGACATCAGCTAAGCCATTTTTTGAACCAAAATCATGTTTCACAAAAAGATGTGCAATATCATTTTGAATACGATTATTAAGGCTGATCCACTTCCAATAGCAAAAATCCCTCAGGAGGTGATCTATGGTAGTCACTTTCACTTGGTTTCCTGCATTCCACATCTCAACTCCAAATAGAACTACTTCAACATCCAGTGTAAGAAAAATCTCATGGATTGCATGCACAATGATCAATATTTCCCGTAACACATGTGACAGATTGCTATTCAGATAACGAATTCGCTCATGGTCTACGACCAATACCAGGTTAAGAAAACGCTTGTGGGCCCACCAGCCCTCATAGCTGCTTTGCATCAGTGTGTGGTTATCAGTCTCTTGAAGCTTCATTTGCAGGGCTATCTCCTCTTCTGTTAATGCGCATCTCATGGGGAGTAATTTTGTCTCCTCATTGTCTATCTTATGAACCAAATGTTCAAATGTGGAAGAAAGGTTCTTGGGCTTAATTTCATACACTGTTCCATTTACCTGTAATGTTCCTTGAATGCCTCCAAAACATGTAGTAAGAACAACCATGGATTCTGGGTCTCCATCCATATAGCCATGGTAGTAGCAATCTTTCTGGACAAAAGGCTGCTCCTTGTGTAGAGAACCTTGGTCAGTGTAGGTGAACACAGAGAGGTGTCTAGACATGAAAAACTTGTTGGCTTTCATGTAGATAACATGCCTCTGGCCCCCAAAGTGCAGGCTATAGGTCAGCCATCCCATAGCCCACATTGTTCTGTTGCTTGTGACCCGTAAGGGTATCACTACTTCTGGGAGGCTGGTGTGTTGAGCATGCCCATTCAAGGGCCATGTTGAAAGAATGATCAACATCTCCAGCCAGAGGTGCTGATGACTTATACTTGTGTGTGCCCCAGCCTCACTCATAGCCACCGTGTCCCACAAGACATCCAAGGAGGATGTCCTTTGTCTTGGTTGCATGCAGGGCTGACTCTTAATGGTCTGTCTTCTGGCTGAGTTGATGCATTAGAGCAGCAAGACTAAATGAAATAGGAAAAAGAAGGCAGACATAGGAGTAGCTTAGCTTTGGGCAGGGCAAGGTGAAGAGAAGGAGTCAGGTATGAGATTAAATGTCTTTGGTATTGGTCTAAGGCACAACTCCACTTAGTGCATTTGATTTGCTGTTTAATTTTGTTGAAGTACAGTCAAACAATGAATGCATGTAAGAATTATCATGTTGATGCTTTCTGAACATAGATAAGGAACTCTTAGATTTAACATGTTGTTTCTTAAATCTAGGAGCTCACATACCTACAATAAATACTTAAAGCAAAAGATGTCAATAGACAGTGACCATGTATCATATTTTAACAAGGCAGTATTGATGTCTATATTTCAACTTGGAATAAAGACAAAGGTGCTCTTTCAATTTCCAACAATAAATTGTTGTGTAACTTTATTTAGGATGGCTTTGTAAGTGTTCCTCATATTATATTTATTTTCAATTCAGTATACACACATACATGCACACACACACACACACACACACACACACACACACACACACACACACACACACAAAATCTCTACATATTAAAAACAAGTATCAAATTTATGGACTTGAAAATTGTCAGTGTATCACTATTTAAAAGCCTACTGCCAGAGTTCCTCATTCTTGGTGGGGAAGCTATTGGTATCTTTTTTTTTTTTAAAGTGGACTTACCGTTCCTGTCTAGTAGTTTTATAAATACACTTGTCTTCGTAGGTCAGTGTTCCTGCTAGCTTTAGTCAGAGAGGCTACTGTTTGCAGTGTGTTCCTAGAAACATAAAACATGAAATAATGAACAACATCTCCAGCCAGAGGTGCAGATGAACTGACATCTTGGTATGTATATCAGATAGCCTGACACCTTGGCTGAAGTGTGAAGTCATTGAGAGATATATTTTAAACATGTCCCATGTTTCTTTAATAATTTATACATGTGTTCCACACTGTTCTTAATTCTATCAATTTTTTAACCTCACTAAGGAACCCAGCAGAATATAGACATTGTATTTCCTTTTATAGGGTAGTTTTTATTGTTGAATTTAAATCAGAACACATTAAGTTATAAAACTAATAATTTTTCATTTAATTTTTTTTTATTCAACATTGGTTTTTTCCACCCATTTCTTTCCTGAATCTCTGATTTGTCAAATAATACAGTTTACTTAATACATTATTTGGAAACTTGTTTTAGGAGCTTTACTGATGTAATTTTAGAATTTTAACAGTGTCTTGTTTGCTTGGATACAGTAATCAAGATAAAAAATTAGAGGCTTAGAAGACTGGAGAGATGGGTAAATATATAAGATGCTGGAGGGGTAAGCATGCAGACTGAGAAGATCATCAAAATCATAGTACAGCACAGAGTTGATGGTTTGACTCTATAAAACCCAATACCACCATATGGGACTAAAGAGAAGTAAACAGAAACAGATAGATCTTTGGGGCTCTCAGGCCACCCAGTCTGGTAAAGCTCTTTTGGCAGTGGGAAATACCGTCTCCAAAATACGGTACAGAGAAATGAAGAAGGCAAAACAGCCTTTATCTTCTTTGGCCTACACATATATGTGCTTCTATATGCTTTCACATACACAATCATAAGTCAACACACACACACACACACACACACACACACACACACTAGGATATTGCACAAAATGTTTAGAGACTAAAGCAGAGAAGAAGAGGCAATCTATTGGGGACAAAATTTCTAAATTATGAGCAATACCTTCATGTTCTCATTTGTTTTTCATGGTTTTTGTGGTTTGTCATTTTTTAAGATAGCATTTCAGTATATATATGATTTTTGTCTGACTTTGATTTCACAGTCCTTTAACCCATGGCTCTCAGATATATGCTAGGATTAGAGACATATAGCACCATATTACTCTCCACACTTTTCTTGAAATACATTTGAAATTCTAAATATTAGTTTTGTTTCTGATGGTAAAAGCTTATTTATTATTGATACTATATTCTTGGTAAATAACACATACAAATTCATCATAAATTATTTTTAATATGTTGCCAGGCAATCTTCTTAAAGGAAAAAAATCAAAATATAATATGGATTGTCTTTGTACTGTCTACAATATTTTATACAATGCCCCAACATGCCGTAGATCCTCAGTGACTATCTCATCTTCATTCATAAAGATACTTGGTGCCATATAGTACAGAAACCTTAAATTTGACTTTCAAATCTCTTGTCAATTGTTTTCTTTCCATAGCTTCATCAAATTTATCAACATCTGTACTATAGTTACTACCTAGCATTTTTTGATGTAGTGTCTAGTTCAGTGCTATTCAAGGCAAGAGTAACCACACACTCAAAATGTTTTGAATGCCCAATTAAATGAGTAGAGCAGAGTATGAAAGAACATGGATATAGTTTCATTTATCTGGACAAGCTTTGACATACTGATTGAGAATCATGGTATGTGTTTGTATATGCAGACTCACAGTCTAATTATTTGTGCTTCTATCTTGTAGTGATAAAGTCTTGAATGACTTACTAGAAGGTGAAGTGACAATGTCCGTCATCTTTTCTAATGACAGCTTGCTTCATGTCTCATTTGCAGCATAGTTGTTTTTTCTTGAGACTTTAAATGACAAGGAGACTATTAGACTCCACCTTCCTTTGTTTCTCATATTATTGAGTTCTAGATTGTACTGCCTAGTAACAAGAGCATTTCAGTCTATAGAACGTGGCAACTGGCTAAGATTCTACCTCATTTTTCTACTATTTCAACCGGATTTTTATCTACTGACTCCTCAGCATGAGTAATCAGATTTTCTATTATGCTTCAATAACTTTCCAAAATGAATTAATCTCATTCCTTTACCACCATCTGCATTTTCTCAATAACCCATATAATTTTTATACCTTCTGTACTTTTGCTCATGCTGCCAATATGGCCTCACTTATTTTCATCAACCAGGTGAAAGACAAACAAATAAGTGTCTTATTAAATTACATCATAGATCAAATGAACTTAACAGACAGCTACATAATAATCCATCTAAAGTGCACAGAATAAGCAACTTCTAAGTATACATAGTGCTTTCTCTAAAATAAATAATAGGGCAAAATGAAAGTCTTAAAAATATATGGAAACAGCCGGGCGTTGGTGGTGCACGCCTTTAATCCCAGCACTCGGGAGCCATATATATATATATATGGAAACATACATCTTTGTATTCTATCTGATCATAATGAAGTGAAATCACAAATCAATAGCCCATGAAACTATTAAAAATGCATAACCTCTAGGAGGTTAAAAAATAAAACACTGAATTATAAAAGGGTTATTGAAGAAATCAAAGAATTCATAGAAATTAATGAAAATAAAACATAGCATATAAAAGCCAGACATAAGAGGGCAGTATATAGGTCCATGTGCCTACATTAACGTATCAGAGGGATCCCAGATAATATATAACTGACAGCCTTATATACCGAAGAACAAGCCAAATCCTAAATTAGAAGCTGAAAATAAATATTCAGGGAAAAATGAAAGAATAGAAATAAAAATACAAAAATTTAGTGAAGCAAAAAGATTTTTGGAACTACCTACCAAAATAAGCCAAGGTGACAATGCCCCAAGTAGACATCTTATGCCACCAAGTAAAATTTCTAGTGGGTTATATCATGCTGAGTCATTTGCCAAACCAGTTCAAACATCACAAGCTATTGTCAAGGCTATTGGTTGCTTTCCACAACATGATGGGAAGGCCCAATATCAGAAGACAATACTTGTGTCATCAAACATAGAGAAGTTGAGCTTATGTCCAGCTAGAAGTTTCATCCCGCTGACTAGTGTTCTTGGTACTGGAAGTTACTCTGTACATTACAGGAGAAAAGTAATCATCCATACCACCCAGCTACAAATGCTGGGACCTACCTCAGTAATTTACCTGCAAGATATGCTTGTGTAATCAGGGTACAGATGTCATGGAAGTAACCAAATGTCTTTTTAAATTTGTTTTAATTCATTTTACATACCAACCACAGTTCCCCTTCCCTCACTTCCTCTACTCCTCCCCCATACCTCCCCCCAACCCACTCCCCTTCCACTCCTCAGAAAGGATAAGGCCTCCCATGGAGAATCAACAAAGCCTGGCACTTTCAGTTGGGGCAGGACCAAGAAACCCCCTACCCTTCCCCCTGCATGGAGCCTGAGCAAGGCATCCCACTATATAGAATCAGATGCAGAGATCCACAGCCAAGCACAAGGCAGAGCTCCAGGAGTCCAGTAAAAGAGATAGAGTAGTGAAGCCTGGGAGCCTCCTTGGGACTAAACTAGGTGCTCTGCATAAGGGCAACAGTTGTGTAGCTTAGTCTGTTTGTGGGGCCCCAGGCAGTGCGCCCATTCCAAATACTTTTCAAAATTAGGTTTAAAGCTCACTCCATGAGGTGGGACCCACACAAGACACTGCTAAAGTGCCCAAGAACCCGACCTTAGCTAGATCATGGGCCTAGGAGAAAATCTAATTCTGTTATGCTGATAAGGGGACATAGCAATAGCATGGCATGCTGCTCTACCCAGTAGATCACTGTCTTACTTAATCCTCATCAGAGAAGCTGCTTCTTGCAGTAGATGAAAATTAGCACAGAGACTCACAAGTTGACAGTGTGGAGAAACTGAGAGATTTTACAGGACTCAGTCCAAAATCAGATGTCTCTCTCAAGCCCCTTCCCACAAGGGTTAGGGATCTGTGTGGAAAATGATTCCGAAAAGCTCTAAGAGCTAGGAGTGATGGATGACTCCCTGAAAACAGGACAGAGGTTCCAATAAACTCACAGAGACTGCGGTAGCATGAACAAGGCCTGCCTAGGTTCAATATCAATGGGGTCCCAGCATTGAGAGGGAGAAGTGAACATGAGCTCCCATCCCTAATCAAGTTATTCACAATTGATACCTTCTGGGAAAGG